TGACCCTGATGATGTCCCCAATGTGTCCCCAATGTGTCCCCAATGTCCCCAGTGTGTCCCCATGTCCCCAGGGTACCTACCCCAAGGTGTACAGGTGTCCCCAATGTATCTCTGATGTCCCCAGTGTGTCCCCATGACCCTGATGATGTCCCCACCGTGTCCCCATGTCTCTGATGTCCCCAGCATGTCCCTGATGTCCCCAATGTCCCCATATCCCCAGGGTACCTACGCCAAGGTGTACAGGTGTCCCCTGATGATGTCCCCAATGTGTCTCTGATGTCCCCAATGTGTCCCCCATGACCCTGATGATGTCCCCAATGTGTCCCCCTGTCCTCAATGTCCCCAATGTCCCCATGTCCCCAGGGTACCTACCCCAAGGTGTACATGTGTCCACTGATGATGTCCCCAATGTGTCTCTGATGTCCCCAATGTGTCCCCAATGTCCCCAATGTGTCCCCAATGTCCCCAGTGTGTCCCCATGTCCCCAGGATACCTACCCCAAGGTGTACAGCTGTCCCCAATGTATCTCTGATGTCCCCAACGTCCCCCATGACCCTGATGATGTCCCCAATGTCCCCAATGTGTCCCCATGTCCCCGTTGTCCCCAGGGCACCTACGCCACGGTGTACAGGTGTCCCTGATGATGTCCCTGATGTGTCCCCCAATGTCCCCAATGTGTCCCCATGTCCCCAGGGTACCTATGCCAAGGTGTACAGCTGTCCTTGATGATGTCCCCGATGTGTCTCTGGTGTCCCCAATGTGTCCCCAATGTCCCCAGTGTGTCCCCATGTCCCCAGGGTACCTACGCCACGGTGTACAGCTGTCCCTGATGATGTCCCCAATGTATCTCTGGTGTCCCCAATGTGTCCCCCATGACCCTGATGATGTCCCCAATGTGTCCCCATGTCTCTGATGTCCCCAGCGTGTCCCTGATGTCCCCAATGTGTCCCCATGTCTCTGATGTCCCCAGCGTGTCCCTGATGTCCCCAATGTGTCCCCCTGTCC